CTTGTCTCAAAAAAAAAAAAAAAAAAAAATATTATAGTATATATATGAATAAAATATTTTAGAAAAAGTAAATAAATAAAGTGCAAATGGTCTCATAAAAAAACAAAAGAAGCCTCATCTCAGGTTCTGCTTCTAAAAAAAAACTAACCAAAAGCAGATGGTAATCCTTATTTTTGCTCATATTCTTTCATTGGTTTTTATTTTTTTTAACAAGGTAATAATTGCTTGTTGGAAAAAAAAAAGATAATGCAGAAGTGTATAAAAAAGTAAAAGTCCTCCGTCCTCATCCTTATACACAGAGGTAACTACTGTCAAAAGCTTAGTGCAGGCCAGGCACAGTGGCTCACGTCTGTAATCCCAGCACTCTGGGAGGCCAAAGTGGGAGGCTCGCTTGAGGTCAGGAATTCGAGACCAGCCTGAGCAAGAGACAGATCCCGTCTCTAAAAGAAAATAGGAAAAAAATTAGCCGGGCATGGTGGTGGCACCTGTAGTCCCAGCTACTGGGGAGGCTGAGGCAGGAGGATCGCTTCAGCCCAGGAATTTGAGGTTGCTGCGAGCTAGGCTGACACCACGGCACTCTAAGCCCAGGCAACAGAGAGAGATCCTTTCTCTAAAAAAAAAAAAAAGACTTTGGGGCTGTTGCAATGAAATAAATGTATTTCGCATGTGAGAAGGACATGATTTTGGGGAGCCAGAAGCAAAACATTAGGGCTTGACTGTGTCCCCCCTGAGCTCATGTGCTGGAAACGAAACCCCCAAGACACCAGTGTCGAGAGATGAGACCTTTACGGGGTGATTAGATCATAAAGGAGGAGCCCTCCTGAATGCAGTGATGCCATTATCATGGGAGTGGGTCGGTCACAAAAGGGAGTCAGGCCCCCTTTTGCCCTCTCACACACCTCCTGCCTCCCTTCCACCTCCTGCCAGGGGGCGACGCAGCAAGAAGCCCCTCGCCAGGGCTAGCGCCCTGCTCTTGGACTTCCCCGCCTCCAAAACTGTGAGCACATAAATTTCTGTTCTCTATAAATCGCCCAGTCTTAGGCATCCTGTTATAACGGCGCACCACGAACCAAGACAGCTACTGTATTGGTCAATGTCGATCCAGAAAATTCCCACCCTCACAGAGAGCCCTGTTGGACAACATTGTTCTACTACTTGCTCGTTCACCTCGTAGTATGTCTTCCAGAACAAGAACCGCAAAACGTGTCAAGTTTTGTAACTGGTGGACTGGACTGAATACAAAAGATGGGTGGCGGCCGTAGGGGAGAGTCACTTGTACTGTTTCTTACATTTGAACTTTAAATAATTCCATAATGAAAGAATATGTTTGGCGGCTCTTGCCAAGTCGTGTCTAATAGACCTGCCTTCGTGCTTTTAACGGCATGCATAATACCTAAAAACAACACATGACCATAGACCTAGAATTGTGGGCCGAAATACTCCAGCGCGCAGCACA